AAGTTCATCCATTCTGCAAAAGAGAGCCAATGGAGCCTGACAAGGCCTGGATAATGGGAATGTGCAGTTTGGTTGCTTCTTTTTCAGTTGGAACAAATCTAGTTGCTGTAGATTCTCTTTGCAGTTATTTAGCGTACATAGGAAGAACATAAGAACAGGAAGAGGCCATTCAGCCCTTTGAGCATACGATCCAGTACATTTCTATATACCTTTCCTGATGTGTCTGAACTATTTCTGTGTGTTTTTCCGATTGCTCCATCTTTTCACTCCATTCTCTCCCTTCTCAAGTATTGTATTTAACTCATCTGATTTCACTTTATCATTGGAAGTTTATAAAGAAGATTGAGTTGATTACATGCCCCCACCCTTTGGAACTCCATCCCCCGGTCCCTTTGTCTTGCTCCCTTCCTTGCCTCCTTCAAAGCATGTCTTAAGACCCTCTTCTTTGACTGCGCATTCGGCCACTCTCCTACACTCCCTGCGCTCCACCCCCCGATCTCAAACCCCTCTGTGGGTCCAAATCCCTGAATGTCCAGCACATTGGGACGTCCTCCTGATGTGAAACAAATGTAATTTGTTGTTGTTGATTGGACTAGAAACTGTCTTGAATATAGAAAGCAGACTGTGATGTTAAATGGAAACATCTGTAACTGGGAAGCAGTGAGTTTGTTCTGAATCTGTTTACATTGACATGAATATGGAAGAGAGAGCTATATCTTGTAATGTTATAACATTTGGTAAGACTAATAAGTAATCAACATAAGGGAAAACAATTGCATTCAGATTAAATCAGACGGATAACAGGAATAGCAGGTGATAGTTTAACTTGGATAAATGCAGTCTTTTGCTCAGACTGATTATTTTGAACAATTGAAAAAATTCAATCCTATCGAGAATTTGAATAAATGAGCAGGAAGAGGAAACAAAAAAACATAAAATACAAGCACATAATGAATAGGTATCTATCGGTAAGGGTAGAAAAATGAACAACTGGATATGCTGAATCAATATTATATTGGTCTAGTCAATGTGAAGCTTATCAACAAGGTAATCGAATACCAGGGCACATCTGAAGAGCAGTCAGTTGCAAGTTGAAACAAGTTATTTTATCCCTATTTAATTCATTTAGAATATTCTGCGCAGCTTTGGCATCTCTACTTTGAAAGGAACATTGACTCATTATAGAAAGTTCAGGGAACGGTGACCAGGATGATTTTAGAGTCCAAGCTTTGAAGGAAGATTCAAAAGAACATGTTTTCAGTGAATGAAAAACAAAGGGGAAACAAAACAAAGAGGGGTATTGGATATGGCAGACAATTGCTCTTCACTTGCTCTTGCAAAACCAGTAGACATAAATGTAAAATTATCAAACATCAAGCAAGACTTTCCTGCAGAGTAACGGATGCATGGAATAGATTTCCAGCAAACATAACTAATTATTTTTCTTGAATGTTTGACTGTCTGTAGGAAATGACTAGTTATGTGGGGTTGGCTACTTCTCCCAGGGACTAGCTATCACAGTTTGACTGAATATTATTTGCTATTTTATTTTTATTGAACTAAAAGGAAAATGTATTGATATTTGGAAAATGATTTCCAGTGTGTTTGAAATGCTTATTGAGTGATGTACTAATGTATCAAAATTAGTGTGTTTTTAATTGCAATTTCTTTCCTTCTTTGAAGATTCTGAATGTAGTCACTGAAGTATAGATTTTATTTAGAATATTGTCTCTTGTCATTTTTTGTCCATCTTTGTTTTATCCTGTGTGTTTTGTGACTGTGATTGAAACTTAAAAAATATACTCAGTCTTTACATTTTACAGCAATCTCTGTGAAGCAGTTTGAGATGTTTTGATGTACTAATGCATTCTATCAGATGTAAATATTACATTTATTATTATATTTACAATCCTTTGTGAATCCAAGTTGCGAATATTGCATTTTCTATCCCAATGGTTTGATAACAAAATCGACACTGTGTCTGGATGCAGTTAGTCTAATAATGGCCTGCGGGTATCTACTTAGCAGATCATTTCAAGTACTTTGCTCAAATATGGCTGATGGGGAGATCACTTTTCAATGAATGAAGATAATGCTTATAGTAATTCCCTCAGATTAAGAACCCAGTTGCTATAACTGAAGAACAAATATAATTTAATTTATATTAATTAAATAAAATTAATTGTTTAATTAAAACATTTTTTAAAAAAAAATACAATTTAATCTACATTCATCTAGCGACTTTGACATCAGGGGAATGTCAATTTGGTTGGATTCACCCTCCTGAGAAGATTATGGCACAACAACCCCGGATAATATCAGCTGAGTTCAGTGGAGGATGTGGGCAGTATCTTTACACCCACATGCCCTTATTTTCACCAAATTGCCAGATAAATATATTACTGAAAAGGAAAGAATGTATAAAAAGTTATATAGAAAAAGTGTGCTGTATATATATTAAAGGAAGAAGAGTTATTTAAATATCTGCATCTTCAGCTACCCTCCAGCCACGATGTCAGGAAAGGCTCGATAGTCACAGATTGCATATAAACTTGAATGAAATTTCAATTGAACTTTAAGCACAGCACACGGAACCTGATAGGAAAATGTTGAATTAACTGAGAGATGAAAGTCAGGCTGTTATTGTGGCTGACATTGACAATCATGCCGTGAAATGGGAAACTTAACCTAAAACCTATTCTTGAACTAAAAAGGTTTAATAGCTTATATGTCAGGATGGCTCATTTGGTAGTACTCTTACATCTAGAGCAGACGATTATGGGTTCACGTCCCACATTGGAACTTGAGCTTATAGTGTAGGATGCTGCTGTAGTACAATATAGTACAGTACAGTGTGTGGCAGCCCTGCATTGTCAGAGTCGTCATCTTTTGGTTAAAACCAGAAGAGGAAGGGAGTTTCCTGGACAACAATCCCGCAAATAAAACTCACTCTATGGCTGTTTGTGGAACACTTCTGCACACAAATCGGCTGCCATGTTGGCCCTCAAAATACACATAGTCACTCCACTTTCCAATACATCGCGTGAAGCGCTTTGAGACGTCTTGATGATGTGATAAGGCGCTATATCAAGTGCAAAGATTATTATTTATTTATAAGCAGGGTCTATTAGAAACCGTTCTTTTCAGTAAAGCAAGAAGCCATTCAGGCCCTTGTGCCACTGGTACCTTTATTATCACCGTTCATTATTAATTCCACTTTCCTGCTCTTTCCTCAAACCCTTAATAATGTTACTTCTAAGGTGCCTATCTGATTCCCTTTTGAATTGTTATATTGATTCATCCTCAATAACCACTTGTGGTATCAGATTCCAAACCCTTTGAGTGAATAAATCCCTTCTTTTAAATTTTTTAAAATTCTTCTGCTAAAATCCTCTTGCCATTAATATCCCAACAAAGGAAATAGTTTTTCCCATTTAGATATGTTACTTCAGAATAATAGATCACAAGATTGGTTCAGATGAAGAAGGCGCTTTGGCCCATTTATCTCATCCTACCAGAAGACCAAACCTATCGTCCTCCCATCACAGCATCAAGCTCATTTTTAAAAGAGTCCAGGGTCCTGGCTTCATACGTGATGTTTGTCCAGAAATTGCCTTGTACTATCCTGAACCCTTGCTCTCTTGTTTTGCTGCCCTGAGATATCTGAAAGTATTGTTTTGAGTTTATTTTCTCAATTGCATTTAAAATCTTATATACCTGTACCTCTACAGTGTTCCCTCTTAGATGTCACTTAGCAGAAGAGTCAAATTGTTGCTTATAGTTCATTCCTCTAACACTAGGCATCATTCTCGTTGCTCTTCTGCACTCCCTTTACGGCGTCTCACAGTGATCTGAATTGTACAGGATGCTGGACTCATTTAAAAAACATGTAATGCTTTGATGGGAGGACGTTAAGTTGGGTATTCTGGTTGGATGAGATAAATTGGGCCAAAGGGTCATCTGAACCAATCTTGTAGTCTGTTATTCTGAGTACTCCAGTGTGGTCTGACCAGAGCATGATATGTCTTGAGCAGGACTTCTGGTCGAACTGAACTGATTTGGCAACATAACCCAACATCTTGTTTGGCTTGTTTATTGCTATCTCACACTGTTTTGACATGGTGAGTGATGAGTCAATTAACACCCTCAGGTCTCCTTCAGCTTGCCCTTTAGCAGGGTCTCCCATCCATGGAGTATATGGGTTTCTATTCTTACGTCCTATATGTTGTACATTGCATTTATCTCTATTGAACTCCATTTGCCAGTAGTCAGCCTATCCCCACATCCTATCAAGCTCTCTTTGTAAGACTTTTGCTGCGTCTTCTGAATCCACAAATTCCTCCCAACTTGGTTTCATTTGCAAACGTTGGTTATTAAACACATGCAGAAGCTATTGAGTCATTTGAAAATTAAGAAGGGTTACAGGAACCACCCCACAAAATCCACAAGCAACACAAGATATGGTATGAGCATAAGCCAATGAAGCATCTCATTGTTATTGTTTCCTTTGTACTGTCAAGGTCATAAATCATAATCTTCAGGACATGCTCGACTGGAAAGAGGGATGGGCAAAATGCCTACTTGGAAATAATTTTTGTACTAAGTACTAGTGATATTCAAGGTGCCGCCATTATCTTTATGTAAGTCAAAGACATTATAGTAAGACAGGTTTATTTGATATTCTCAAATATCTGTGTGAGATATTTGTGTGAAATATTTAAGGGACTCTGAGTATCTGAAATCAAAATGAAACACTAATTTAGGAAGTAGTATGAAATGTGCGAACCATATGAAATAGCAGAACTCTCAAATATCAAAAAGATGTCTGAATCTGAGTCAGTGCAACAGCTTTGGGGATTTAGTGGATTAATTTATTGATCTGTTGATGAGCACATTTATCTTTCGTTAAAATTCAATAAATAGAGAATTAAAAAATAATACTTCTGAACTCCCAGAGGAAGTCGTTGTGACAGTTTGTTTTCTTTGTATTACTATTGCAGTAAAAGAGCAGTGTTGGTGCTACAGAATGATCCACATTACCATCAGCGACGCTCATACAGCAGTGAAGATGAGGCATGGAAGTCGTTCCTGGAAAACCCCTTGACTGCGGCCACCAAAGCCATGATGAGCATCAACGGTGATGAAGATAGTGCCGCTGCTCTGGGGTTACTCTATGATTATTATAAGGTAATGAAACCAGGCACATAATGTGAGATATTCATGATGTCGGTAAATGCCAAGGACATGTATCGTTGTTGGGTGGGATGAGGCATACTGTTTCCTATGTTGTATAAAATGACTGAGATCCTCTGGGACGATGTTGCGTTAGGTCATCATAGAAGCTACACAGGCCTGGGCTAACCTTCAGCAACCAAAGAATAGCAACAACAAATTTGCATTTTTTAAAAATATGTTGCATTTTGCTGATTGAATACACAGTCAAATCCACTTTACAGAGTATTCTGCGAAGTGCTATTAGATGTTGCAACGATATCTCAAAGCGGTGCTATATCAAATAAAAGTATTATTATTTTTATTATATAGTGCCTTTGACATCGGGAGAATGTCCCAAGGGGCTGGGATATATGATAGTCAGTATCATAGAATCTTATATCACAGTAGCAGACAACAACAACACAATCACATTTATATAACACCTTTCATGCTGGAAGGACGCTTTTTTTCTGTGTGCACCTTAAACTCTTTGGTTTTGTTCTGCCAGAATAACTGCATGCAATAAGGAGTTTCTTGCACTTGTTACTGAACTATAGGCTGCAGCTAGAAATAAATTAAAGTTGCAAATGGGTGGAACGTAGGTTGCAGACACCCTCCCCAGCCGACACACTAATACATACCTCAGCCAGGAATGGGGCCTGGCCTGAAAGTCTAGCCCACTCCCAGTTTTAAGAATCATTATTTTTCTTGAAATAAATAGCCCTCCCCAATCGCGACCCCCAGTTCGGGTCGAAAACATTGACTGGCCAGCGCCTTGGGATGTCCTCCTGACGTGAAAGGCACTATACAAATGTAATTTTGTTGATGTTAAAAAAAACATTTGCGATGGGCTTCCCTGATGACTCAGTTATAGTGAATGATCTGACAGGTGTGGCACTGAGACATACAACAACAACTTGCATTTATATAGCACCCCTCATGCAGGATAGCTTCCCAGAGATCTCTACAGAGGCAGTTGGGAAGTTATAATAATCCTTGCATTTGATATAACGCCTTATCACATCTTCGAGACATCTCAAAGTGCTTCACAGAATATACTGTAAAATTAATTGACTATATATTTTGTGGGCGAAATACGGCAGCCAATTGCGTACAGCAGTGTCCCATAAACAACAAGATTACATTTGATAGCGCCTTTCACATCGGGAGGACGTCCCAAGGCACTGACATAGTCATGGATTGAGTAACTACATTTTTTTAAAATGATTGTTACTATTTTTTTGAAGGGATTTATTACCCCCAGAAAAGTAATCCACCAATCGACTAACAACCAGGTTTGTATGTACTGCTAGGTTCTCAGCATCCATTCCTGGCCTGTTAGCTGATCTCAACTAGGCAAGGAGTTGGGGTGCTATAATTAGCTTCAGCTAGAAAGGGAAAAGCAATCAGCCAGGATTGGGGATAGAAAAAAAGCTGTAGAATAGGGTTCCTTCCCCTGATACATTGAGCGCTGATAGAAGCTTGGGATGAGAGGAGGATCAGGCCCTCCTGTGATGCCTCCCACCTACCTCCCACCCCCCCCCCCCACCCCATTTCCATGGATCAAATAGACAATTCACTATCAAGGTGCCCACAGGAAGAATGCTCACTTTGATAAAATACTGAAGGATATTTTACTCACATGAAACCAAATGGCAGTAGGAGTTCTTATCCCCTGCATAGGAGAGGAGAACACAGGATTTGTTTTCTAAGCTCTGATTATTTGCAAATTTTGTAGATGTGCATAGATTATAATGTGGTTGATCATAAGCTTAAGTTAGCGATTCTGCTGCCAACAATGCATGCCGTTCCTTTATGGCAGAACTGGTTTGTTTTGTCAAGCGTCAATCATTGCGTATGATTCACTAAGGGAAATCACAGTAAGGTGCAAATGTAAAAGGCCTGGGAAAAATCTGTTTGTTTTTTATTTAAACTAAAATATTTTTTCTTCTATTTTCCAAGTTTCTCTTCTTTTTGTGTAATTTTAATGAACTATTTCTCCCAAAACATAGTAGAATTACTATACATTTGGAAGCTCGGGATATATTTAAATTTTCAGCAAATTGGAGATTCCCATCTCTTTCTTGCCAGTTGTGTGAGTAGAGAGTGACTAATGTATTCTCTTCTCTTGGTCAAGAAGAACTTCTCCTGTCTGATCTTTCTTCTTTGCAGTAACATTATTGTTCCCCCTACCATCGGTGGCCGGGCCTTCAGCCTCTCAGCCCCTTGGCTCTGGAACTCCATCCCCCAGTGCCTTCGCCTTGCTTCCTCCCTTTCCTCCTTCAAGGCTGGTCTCAAGACCTTTCTCTTCGACCGTGCCTTCAGCTCCCCTCTCGACTCTCTGCCCCCTCCTCGCTCCCTCCCTTCACCCTGACCATTTTCCCCCTGCTCGGGTCCCGACCCAACTGTCCGGCGCCTTGGGACGTCCTCCCAACGTGAAAGGCGCTCTATAAATGAAATCTTGTTGTTGTTCCACACAGGGTCATTGCTTTTGTAGAGAAGAGGCAGATACAGGTATGCAATAGTCTACAAAGAGCAAACTCCTTCAGGGTCGTGGAGTAAACAGAATGTATTATACGATTTATAAGTTAGAACAAATATTTGTAAATGTGTCACTCTGAGTCCATGAATTTAGAGCACAACATCAGTGCACCTTAACTTCAATATTGCTCAAGTGTCAATGTCCTTGATTACATTGTGAGAAGGAAAGGCAGTAAAATGTGTTATAATAATAATCCTTGCATTTGATGTAGTGCTTTAACACGTTGTTGAGAAGTGTCAGGTTCTTAGAATGGATAATCACTTGAGTACAAGACATTGGCATGACTGATTTCCCATAGTCTTTTCTGAGAAAGACCAAATTTTATGAAAATGAATGGGATAAAAGGCAATGTATATAGAATAGTTTGCATCATAGCTAGAGGCTGTGAGTGACATCTGGGTAGTGTGACAGTTGGTTTTGCCTCAGCATTTAAATTAAACATGTTGCATTGATAAACGATGGCTAATCAAACTGCATATCAATGTGGCAGTGGAATGTCGAGGCAGTTATGCTTCATGTACCAGTGGAAGTAGAGTAATGGTCACCCAGCAGTACTGATGCCCAAAACAATGACACTCCCGGGTCAGATGAAACCAACTCAAACTTTTTGTCCTACTTTTAGGTTCCCAGAGACAAGAGGAATATGCCACCTGAAAAATATCCCATTGCTGACTCAGAGCACAATAGAAGGTAAAAGGGAATAGTTATCTTAATTTAAGATATGTGTTATTAACAATTTTGTAAATGTTGGACTCCAGATTGTAAATTGTTTGTGCCCCTCCATACTCTTGTGCAGAGTTTATTTGCATGTTTTTTGGATATCTTTAGTACAAATGCAATGATGGTGAGCAGTGCTAAAAGAGCTTCTTGATAAGAAGATTACACCATATGGGATTAAATGGCTTTTAATGGAAGAACAGTATCTTCAGTGGCATACAACAAGGAGTGAATGGGACCTTAAACCTGAATTGAGTCAAAAATTGTTGTCCACTCCTCCTGTATCTGCACTCTGTACACGTTACTTTTTTTTAAACTTGTGTTATTATCTTCAGGCTAACTATAAGACACACTGACTCTCAGAAAGATTTGCTTATGGAAATATTCACTGTATTCTATGAAACATTTTTTAGATGTTAGCCTGCTCAGTTGGTACCACACTCATCCTTAAATCAGAACGTTGTGGGTTCAAGCCCCACATAATCTTAGCTGATACTCCAATGCAGTGCGGGGGATGCATGGCATTGGTGGAGGTACCGTCCTCAGATGAGACGTTAAACCAAGATCCTGCCTGCCTGTTCATGTGGCCGTTAAAAATCCAATTGCCCCACTCGAAAAAAGAAGAGAGTTTCTCCTGGTGTCCTGGCCAACAATTACCCCAATAAAATTGCTCATTCAGTTAATGGCTGTTTGTGGGACATTTCTGGCACAAATTAGATGCCACATTTTCCCACAAAACACACAATCAATCCACTTTACATTATTTCCTGTGAAGCACTGCGAGACTTCTCTCTGACGTGAATTGCGTTATATCAAATGTAAGGATGGTTATTATTTTTTATTGTTCGTTCAACTTTTGATGTTTGTGGGACTTTGCTAACGCAAATAACTACCACAAATACCACAAAAGGAATTACAATACTTGACAGTAAAATTGCCAGTGATGCTTTGAGATGTTTCATTCTGATAACCGTACATATAATGTTCTTTTGTACATGAAGCCTGAGTGGGGTGGGTAGAGTCTGTGAGCCAAACTGCACATGGTGATTTCACTGGCTTTTCTGGTGCTATCCTATATTTATGAAGCTTCTGTGAAAATAAGAAGTTGTGAATATGTGGCTACCATCTTTTGAATACATACAAAAGACTCTGTGTTCCAAAATTATACAAGGAATGATTACCATACAACATGTTGTTTGTCCAGCCGTTGAACCACAGAAATTTAAGGCACAGATGAAGGCCATTCAGTCCATTCATCCCAGGCTTGTGCTGGCTCTTTTGAGAACAGTCTTTTCAATCCCATTTACCTGCCTTTTCCCCATACCCTTTGAGTTTACTCCTTTTTGGATATTTATCTGGTTCCCTTTAATATGGATTCAGCCTCAACCACTGCTACCGACATTCCATACCTTAACTACTCTATGTGTGAAACCATATCTCCTTAACCTCCCCTGGCTTGTTTGCTATCTTAAATTAATGTCCTCTAGTCACTAACTCAGTGACTGGTGTAAATGATTTCTCCCCTATTGACTATTATTAAAAAAAACATAATTTTAAAGAGTTCTATCAATTTTTTTTTAATTTTACTTCCTTTTTACCAACAGAAAGATGCCCAGTTCCTCCAATCTCTGCTCATAGGCCAAACCACTCATCCCTGGTATCATCCTAGTATCTCTATTGGCTTGACATCTTTCTTAAAGTGAAATGACCAAAACTGGACATAATATTCTAACTGCGGGCTAACTAACGATTCATATAAGTTTAACATTATCTCTTTGATTTAATATTCCATACCCCTATTTATAAAACCTAGGATTTGTTTTGCTTTCTTAACAACTTTATCATCTGCCTTCCCACCTTTAAAGATTTGTGTATACTAACCCCCTAAGTCCTTCTACTCTCCCACTCCACTTACTATTTTACCACCTGGCAAATACTGTTGAATCCGTCCGATCCCATTGGCTTGTAGAGGTGAGGCTATGCCTACACCTCCAAGTCTCATTGCCAGGCTGCTCATCATCAATACTGCCAGGAATTACTGTGCACATCCTATCAAGTGTATCTCCACAGTATCTGTTCAGGCCCAAGGAGCTCCCCACCATAATAACCATAGTAATAATAATCATAGTAATCCTTATATTTGATATAGCACCTCATCACATCATCAAGACATCTCAACGTGTTTCACAGGATACACTGTAAAGTGGATTGTCTGTATTTTGTGGTGAAGTGCGGCTTATATGATATTAAAGCCTAGAGAATAATTTCTGAAATTAAGTTCTATTAACGCTTAGTCTACTCAATTTTTTAAAAAATAATTTGCTCCCATTCTCTCTGATTGTAGGCTGTTCACCACCATGCACCCTTCTAGATCAAGGAGGGCAGGACGGTCTGGTATGCAGACGTCTTCACAATTGCCACAAATGTTGCATGGCAATCGTTCAGAGGAAGGAGCAATTCACCCTGGGTAAATTGGGCAGCTACCTCTCTCCTCCCCTGTGATAAAATGCTTTTTTTATTACAGAATGCTCCATTTAGAAAATACATCATTTTTATAAAATATCCAACTTACACCTGCACAATAAACACAATCACTATACTTTATAGCAGTGGTGGCCAACCTTTATGGTCGAACAACAAAATAAATGTTCTTGATTGAATATTTCTTGATGTATGTGTAGTCCTGTAGCTTAATGGTTAGAGCACTCGCCTCACAAGCGAGAGACCTGGGTTCGATTCCCGGTAGGGCGAAACGTTGCACAAGTTTCCTTACTCCACACACCTCTGTTTACCTAGCAGTAAGTAGGAAGTTGGTTGTTAGTTGATTGGCGGATCGCTTTTCTGGGGATAGTAATACTTTAAAAAAAAATAATAGTCACTCAATCCATGATTGTTTGTGGGACACTGCTGTGCACAATTGGCTGCTGCGTTTCGCACACAAATATAAAGTCGATTCATTTTGCAGTATATTCTGTGAAGCGCTCTGAGACATCTAGAAGACATGATAAGTGCTGTATCAAATGCAAGGATTATTATTAAATCAAGAAATGTCCAACAAGAAACAAAATGAAAACACACTACCAATCGAACACGGACTTACTTAGACTCGCAAATGTTCAACAGCAACAAGATTACACTTGTATAGCGCCTTTCACGTCGGGAGGACGTCACAAGGCGCTGAACAGTGTACAGTATTTCAGATCCGTGCTGGGGTCACGGGGGGAGAGGGGAGGGGAAGGGGGGTGACTGATGGCAAGGTCGAATAAGAGGGTCTTGAGGCAGGACTTGAAGGAGGCTAAGGAGGGGGCGAGGTGTAGTGATTGGGGGATGGAATTCCAGAAGTTGGGGGCAGAGTGACTGAAGTGCTCTCCTGCCAATGGTAGGGTAGGCAGGTCAGGGGACGTGGAGCAGGCCAGAGCCGGCTGAGCGGAGGGAGCAGGCGGGTAGGTAGGGGGTTAGGACGTCGCAGATATAGGGTGGAGCGATGGCTTTGTAGGTGAGGACCAGGATCTTGAAAGATCCTTTCAAGGGGGACTACGTCTTGTCGGCCCCGCTGGTCACTTCCGGCCCTTGAGCCTCTGGCCTCAACATTGATTTTAACCAAAACACAAAGTACTGCAGATGCTGGAAATCTGAAAAACAAAACGGAAGTCGCTGGGAACACTCAGCAGGTCAGGCAACATCTATGGAGAAAGGAAAGTGAGCCAATGTTTGAGGTCCTCGAACTCAGTTCTGACCTGAAACGTTTCCTTTCTCTCCTTTCTTCATAGATGCTGCCTGACCTGCTGAGTGTTCCCAGCGACTACTGTTATTGGTTTTAACCACTTCAGACCTTAAACACAGCCTTCTCTCAGCTTTGCCTCTCCCTCTCCCCTATAACGATTCACACATCCTCTGGGTCTTAGACGCAGCTTTTCTTTTTATAATCTCCCACTCCATCAACACCTCTGACCTCATCATCTTCTGTCCTCCATATAAACTTTTTCTTTGTCTTTGTTTCCCTGCCCCCCTTCTCTGCTTGTCCTTATAATCTGCTTCCTTTCAACATCCCCAAGTTCTGACGAAAGGTCATTGACATGAAACATTAACTCATTTCCCTCTCTCCATAGATGCTCTCTGACCTACTACATGTTCCCAGCAACTTCTGTTTTTGTTTCAGATTTCCAGCATCTGCAGTATTTTGCCTTTTTTAAAAAATATATATTATTTGTGGAGTCCTGTAGCTCAGTGGTTAGAGCACTCGCTTTGCAAGTGAGAGACCTGAGTTCAATTCCAGGCAGGTCAGGGCGAAACCTTGGGCAAGTTTCCTTACTCCACACGCCTAATAATAATCCCTCCAAAAACCAAAAACAATAATTAAATTGGTCATTTTCAATCTACGACTGTTTGTGGGACATTGCTGTGCGCAATTGGCTGCCGCGTTCGCCCACAAATATACAGTCAATTCACTTTACAGTGTGTTCTGTGAAGCGCTTTGGGACGGCCTCCCGACGTGAAAAGCGCTATATCAAATGCAAGGATTATTATTATTATTATTATTATTTGGTATGTTTAAGACAGGCAGACAGACCCATTCGTCTTTCTGTCTGTCTGTCCACAGATTCTTGGGAACTAAAGGGATTGATTGATTTATCAAATGCAAGGATTATTATTATTGAAGAAAATTGAGAGAATGTAAGAAAGGGAAGTAGTAGGTTTCAAATGGTGGAAGTCGAATGAATGAATGACCACTTGTTCCTACACATGAATCAGTGCTACTATTACTGTATTACAATATGTTCAGATTGTCTTCTCGTCTTTCTCAGGAACTGTATACAGTCAGCAGCAGTTCCCTCAGGGATCTCCACTGCAGACAGCCGAGTGCAACATCTAAAGGTTTTACCTGTCAACATAGTAATGCCTGACAACCAGCTAGAACACGACAAAACACACCGGTTTACAGTCCCCGATACCACTGTAACTGTCTCTCTCGCAACCATTCCCAGCCATTCTATCAAAACGGAAATGCACCCGAATTCCTTTTCAGTCGGTCCCCCCCTAGGAATGTACTGCACGGGGCCTTCTGAACGTGCGGTAATCTATGACAACTTCACCTCACCCATGCCATCTTCACAAAGAAGAACTCCAGACACCACCTTCACAGAGACATACAAGGAAGGAGCACAAGAGGCAAGTCATGGTTACGCTTTTTCTACTCTCTGTGTTGAGAGTTGTGAAGTCTTGTAGCTTATTGGTTAGAGCTCTCGCCTGACAAGCAAGAGACCTAAGTTTGATTTCCCAGTCAGAGTGAAATGTTAAGCAAGTTTCCTTACTCCACACGGCTGTTTACCTAGCAGTAAGTAGGAACCCGGTTGTTAGTCGATTGGTGGATCACTTTCCAGGGGTAATAATCCCTTCAAAAATAAATAAATAAAAAATGCCCACAAGATATAGTCAATTCACTTTACAGTATATTTAGCTCAGGTGGAGTCCTGTAGCTCAGACGTTCGAGCACTCACCTTGCAAGTGAGACATCTGGGTTCAATTCCAGGCAGAGCGAAACCTTGGGTAAGTTTCCTTACTCCACACGCCTAATAATAATCCCTCCAAAACAATAATCCATGACTGTTTGTGGGACACTGCTATGCCAATTGGCTGCTGCATTTCGCCCACAAATATATGGTCAATTCACTTTACAGCATATTCTGTGAAGCGCTTTGAGACATCTAGAAGATGTGAAAAGCTCTATATCAAATGCAAGGATTATTATTATTCATTTGCAGAGAATGGGTGTGGATAAAAATAAACAACTAATTTTCAGTTTCATTCCCCCTTTTCCTTGAAGAGATAGATGAGCATTCTGTTTTCAAGCCTCCAGCACTTTTATTCTGAGACGGCTGACGGTTGGCTTTGCTCTGAATTTATCACCCCTCACCCCACTGTAGTGAGCAGCTGGAATCTGCTAGGTGCCCCCACACATCAGCATGCCTTAGATCACAAGATCGGTTTGTAGGAAGAAAGTCCTTCATTCCATCTGATCATATCCCTCCAGAACCTCCCCACCTACTATTCCCCCATCACAGGATCATGCTGTTTTTTTTTAATTGTCTGTTGTCCCAGCCTTAACCACCCTTCCTGGCAACCCAATCCAGTTATTAATTATCTTCTGGGTAAAGAAGTACTTCCTGGTGTCTATGCTGAAATTGTCCTTTGCAACTCTAAACCGATGACTCAGGAACACAATGAATGAAGCTCAGTGTATTAAACCTCACTGACCTGTGCACTCCCTCAACTCTGCAGGCACCTGACTGCTCCTCTATTGGCAGTCACCTTCAGCCTCTATCTTGGCTCACTCTCTCTGCTTGAAAAAACACGTGCACATATTCAAAACCTCATGCACTCCCTGAAAAAGAGACAAATTGACACTCAGTTGAAAGCGAGTTTGAAGTCTGTAAGGATAATTATAGACACAACAACAACAAGATTCCATTTATAGAGCGCCTTTCATGTCGGGAGAACGTCCCAAGGCGCTGTACAGCTGGGTCAGGACCTGAGCAGGGGGGAAATGGTCAGGGTGAAGGGAGGGAAGGGAGGGAGCAAGGAGGGGGTAGAGACACAGGTTAATGCTTCATGGGACAAGATGGTTCTTATCCAATGTATTCCTATATTCTTGCACTTTTCCAACAGGTGTATGGGTTCACTAATGATCAAATGCGAATGGCCACCATGGGTTCAGAAAACTACGGCTTTGATCGAATTGGGTATGTAATCAAAACCCTGCTTTGGATTTTACCATGTGCACGTCTAGTTTCTACATATTCTACATGTGGAGTCCTGTAGCTCAGTGGTTAGAGCACTCGCTTTGCGTGTGAGAGACCTGGGTTCGATTCCCGGCAGGGTGAAACCGTGGGCAAGTTTCCTTACTCCACACGCCTGATAATAATCCCTCAAGAAAAAAAAACAATAATAAATTGGTCACTTCATTCCATGACTGTTTGTGGGACACTGCTGTGCGCAATTGGCTGCTGCGTTTCGCCCACAAATATACGGTCAATTCACATTACAGTCTTCTATGAAGTGCTTTGAGACATCTAGAAGACGTGAAAAGCGCTATATCAAATGGAAGGATTATTAGTATTATATTTATCATTAGTAATTTAAAACTTTTCCAGTGACTTCATAACAATTTCAAGTCTAAAATAAAGTAAAGCCTTGATCCATAGTATCCATCTCCACTATCCAAATGACAGGGATAACACAGCTTTTCCTTCCACAGCTTAAACCCTATTGTTTGCATTGCCGTACTTGCCTGTTTCAGTTTATAATAAAGTATCCATCTCGCCCATTTCCTTGCTTCCTTCAAGATCCGTCTCAAGACCCTCCTCTTCTACTGTGCCTTTGGTCACTCTCCTAACCCTACCCTTCACTCCTCCTGATCCCAACCTCCAGCTCGGGTGCGGATCCCTAACTGTCCAGCGTCTTGGGACTCCCTCACGACGTGAAAGGCACTCAACAAATGTAATTTGTTATTGTTTCTTGTAATGAATTACAGGGACGTTCTCTCAATTTTTCACGTTAATTATTTCAAAGAGTAAATAACATGCATTTAGAATATAAAGAGCGAGATAAATGTTCAGGCATTTCCTGTGAAGCACTTTGAGATGTCTCTGCGACGTGATTAGGCACTATATCAAATGCTGGGATTATCATTATGATTATTATTATAAGTCTGAGTGAAATAAAACAATGTCTTACAATAGAATGCTGCTGTATGATACTATCTTCTGTTTTTTAACATAGAACGACATTTGAATATGCTTTGGAAGCCTCCAAGTCCCTGAAACAGAAAACAGGGGATGGGACCATGTCCTACCTGAACAAGGGTCAGTTTTATCCCATCCAGCTCAAAGAAATGGGCCCCAACAAAGATATCCATCAACCAGTGAGCAAAGTTCGGGTAAGTGGTTAGTGGTTATTTTCAGTTCTCAAAGAAATCTGATTGTCTATAAATAATTATTTTGACAGCTGAATGCATAACATTTTCATTTGTTTCTCAAAAGAACTTTTAAAATTATTCATGCATGTTTAGATATATAATAACATTTAGTGTACAATATATTTAGTATATAATAATAATCCTTACATTTGATATAATGCCTTGCCACGTCATTGAGATGTCTCAAAATGCTTCACGGAATATATTGTAAATTCGAATTCAAGATCCTCATCCTCACCTACAAGGCCATTCATGGCCTTGCTACCTCCTACCTCTCCGACCTACTATCCCCCTACTTACCTGCCCGTACCCTCTGTTCCTCTGGCTCCGGTCTGCTCCATATCCCATGCCCTAACCGCCCTACCATCGGTGGCCGGGCCTTCAGCCTCTCAGCCCCGAGGCTCTGGAACTCTATCCCCCAGTGCCTTCGCCGCCTCCTCCCTTTCCTCCTTCAAGGCCGGTCTCAAGACCTTTCTCTTCGACCGTGCCTTCAGCTCCCCTCTCAACTCTCTACCCCCTCCTCGCTCCCTCCCTTCCCTCCCCCTGACCATTTCCCCCCTGCTCGGGTCCCGACCCAACTGTCCAGCGCCTTGGGACGTCCTCCCGACGTGAAAGGCATTCTATAATTGAAATCTTGTTGTTGTTGTAAAGTGAATTTACTGTATATTTTGTGGGTGAAAATATAATTTACAATGAATCCAGATAGGAACAATCCACTTGGTGTGATTTGGTGCTTCTTGCCTGAAGACTATGTTGTGTTGAGCTTAGGACAAAGGACATTACTTTCTTCCTATGAAAGACATGTCCTGGGAGAATGTCATTTGTGTAATCTTAACAAGTAACTGGATTTCTCTTCTACTTTTAGAGTGTCGTTATGATTGTATTTGGTGATGATAAATGCCGTGAGGAGCAGCTCAGACACTGGAAATATTGGCATGCCCGGCAGCACACTGCCAAGCAGCGCTGCATTGACATTGGTATGAAGCTCTTCCTTCTGTTGCGGTTAAACACAAACTTGCATTTATATAGCATCCTTCACATGGGGAAGTGTCTTGGAGCGCTCAACAACGGTGAAACTTGATGTCGATCCAGGGAGTGTAGGGAGACGACTATAGGCACAATCGAAGAGGAAAGTCTTCAGGTGTGATCTGAAGGCAGACAGAGAGGGAGTCAGGCAGAAAGTTCCAGGGTCTTGGGCTATAGTGGCTGAAAGCACGGCTGCTGGTGGTGGAGTGGAGGTGACAAGGGATGTACCAGCTGAGCAAAGGGTAGAGGAGTGGGGCGTAAGCAGGTCAGAGAGGTAGGCAGGTGGCAAGGCATGAAGTGATTTTTATGTGAGTGTAAAGATCTTGAAATTGAGTGTGTTCTACAATAGGAAGCCAGTGGACTCTGGCGATGGCTGGGGTGATGGGGGTGTCGGGTTGGTACAGGTGAGAATACAGGTGGCAAGAGTTTTGGATCAGTTAGATTTTGTGGATGACGGAGCTGGAATGATCATTCAGGCCAGCCACAAGGGTTTAGAAAATGAAACATTCACCCTGGTACAGCAAGAAGGGATATTTGTGAAGTTGGGTTCGATATCAGCACACAATTGAGAAGGACGGAGTAGAGAGAACTTGCCAAATCTGGATCCATTAAAATTTTCAAGATTGAGGTGGATAGATTTTGTTAGGTCAGGGTTTCAAGGGTTATTGTGCAAAGGCGGGTATTTGGAGTTGAGGTACAGATTAGCCATGATCTAATAGAATGGTGGAACAGGCTCGATGGGCTGAATGGCCTAATCCTGTTCCTATGGCTGTATCCCTGACTGAGATTAGATGTTTGGGTGTGTGAGGTGATGAAAAATTGAAGCTTGTAACCCAATCCCGGTAATACAAAATCTTTGATGACTGAAGACATTAAGGAAGATGTCTAAATATGGCTTCGAGGGAGCTGATTCCTTTAAGATAACACAAATGCAGACTCCTGTTTTGCACTTAAACTGCTGACTCCTATCTTGTAATCTAACACCTGCAACATAATGTATAATTATAGGGTTAGTAATGTCTAATTTCCATCCATGGTGTCATTGTTATTGTCAATTTTCCAATCAGATATCAGTTTGACCTCAAGGACTTTCCAATGGTTTCTTAATGCAGTCACTACCCTGTCATTACCCTGTGTGAGGGGCACTATATAAAGTTATTATTGTTACTGCTCTCTCCTTAATACACCCACACGTGAGATGGCAGTTACCCATCTGCTCTCATAGACCACCATAAAAATTCTATCTCCCTTTACTCTGAACTCTAACATTGATTTATACTGTCTTTAGTTTCCAGACTAAATGAGACTTTTGGTGCCTGGATTCTGTCCCACTTACCTTGCGGGTTGGAATCCAAGGCACATTTAAACCTTGCAAACAATAAAGCTCTGTGGAGTTAGCTCACCAACAGTTGTGACTGAAATAACCGTTCTTAAAAAAAAGAGATGTAGTCACTCAATCCACGACTGTTTAATAATATTGCCAAATAATGATATCTTGCTGGGAGTTCAGCCTGCCCTGGCCAAGATACAACATTGCTATGATGCTCCCCATGCTGAAGTATCCTGCTAAAAATGGGCTCAAAAAAAGCAATGGTTTCCAATTCCATTCACTGAAGCTCCGCAGTGTAATTGTTAACAGGAAATCCTGCTAGTACCTGGTATTCCATTACATCCAAATTGCGGGATCCCTACTCTCTCCCTCTACCCCAATGCCTTCCCTCCCAATCTTCAGTTCCTGCCTGAAGACCTTCCTCTTTGACTGTGCTACGGTCAACTCCCCCACCACCGGTGTGGTGTCATGCTCCGCCACTGTCAAGCGATAGCTCACTCTAGGACATTACCCTGTGTGAGGCGCACTATATAAAGTTATTATTGTTACTGCTCTCTCCCAGGAGAGTTAGTTATTGACAGGATTCTCTTTCTTGAGTCACTATAAGTAAATCCCTTTGTGAACTGTTTTTTTTAAAACTCAATCAACAACAAAATTACATTTGTAAAGCGCCTTTCACGTCAGGAGGATGTCCCAAGGCACATTCTATTGTGTTGAATGTGAAGAATGGCAAGATATTGGGAGGGTTCCTGACACGCATAGAACTAGTGTGAGCAGGGAAGTCATAAATAATCAGACCATGATTATTTCATTTTCAATGTTTTCCTACAGCTGATTACAAAGAAAGCTTCAATACAATTAGTAACATTGAGGAAATCTCTTACAACGCCATCTCCTTCACATGGGACATCAATGAAGAAGCTAAGGTAGGAGGGTGTTCTGTACCTTTTTTCTTTCTTTTGCTGTAGCTTTAATAAGTTTTCACCAGACGTTGTGTGGGCTGTGCTTCTCATTTGTACATCTAAACGTTCTGGTAGTGGAGCTGGTTTTAACATCTCATCTGAAAGATGGTACCTCTGAAAATGTTACATTCCCTCAGCACTGCACAGCCTCGTTCATTTGCAGGACTTGGAGGAGCAGACCAGTCACTTGGGGCAGGGAGTCTTTCCACTTGGCTCCTGTTTATCCTATAAGCCAAATCCCAATGGTAACAATTGGTCAACTGCGTGATACTGTCATATTTGCAGAGTGGTCAAAATAAATTAAGAATTTGCATTTATATGGAGCTTTATCACACCAAAATGTCTCAAGGGAGTTTTTTGTAGGCAAAAGCAGCAGCCATTTTGCTCACAGCAACATCCCACACACAGCCATGATTTAAATAATCATCAACAACAACAAGATTACATTTGTATAGCGCCTTTCATGTCGGGAGGATGTCCCAAGGCGCTGGACAGTGTACAGCATTTCAGACCCGAAAAAGAGGGGAAGGGGGTGGCCGATGGCATGGTCGAAGAGGAGGGTCTTGAGGTGGGACTTCAAGGAGGCTAAGGAGGGGGCGAGGTGGAGTGATTGAGGTATAAATTCCAGAGGTTGGGGCCAGAGTGGCTGAAGGCTCTCCTGCCAATGGTGAGGCGGGTGGGTCAGGGGACGTGGAGCAGGCTGGAGCCGGCTGAGCAGAGGGAGCAGGCGGGTTGATAGGGGGTTAGGAGGTTGCAGAGGTAGGGTGGGGTGAGGCTATGGAGGGCTTTGTAGGTGAGGACCAGGATCTTGAACTGGATCCTCTGAAGGATAGGGAGCCAATGGAGTCGGGCGAGAATGGGGAAGATGGGGTCACGGAGTTTGGTGCAGGAGAGGACAATTAATCTTAGTTCCATAGAAATTTACAGCACTGAAGAAGGCCATTTTGCCCATTGTCTCTGTGCTGGCTCTTTAAAGAACAATCCTTTCAGCTCCATTTATCTGCCTTCCCCCATAGCTCTCCAGTTTGCTCAATGTGGAAGATTGTTGACCAGGACACCAGAAAAACCTCAAAATCTTTGTGGATTGTGTCATGGGATCTTTAACATCCACCTGAACAGGCAGACAGCTAGAGAATGGCAAATAATGAGGCGTGCAGGGCTTGTGATTTCTGAGATAATAGCTATGTGTTGATGGATAGGTCGTTGAGGAACCGTAAATAATAAAGTTAGGTTATACCGTTTAAAGGGGCTGTAATGGTTTATCAAACAAAAAGCTTTCTCTGTAAACAAGGGCGTATAATGTGCAAACAGATCATGAGACGTGCCACAATAATGCAAAGTGAGGAAAATTTTGAAAGTAACCGATCAAAAGTGGAGCAGGTAGCAAGGAAACCTGTCAGCCTGTTTCTTGCTAACCATCCAGAGATTGCAGTAATCCCAGAGCTGTCTGTGACCCAGGCATCTCATGCTGGCAGACTCTGTGCAGTTGAATAGGTGCAGCGAGAGAAATGAAATCCAAGACCTCTTCCACAGAAAAACTGACTGGAAATGACATTGTACATTATAAAGAAAGAAACCACCTTCATTTTTATAGCACCTTGTATTATATCAGTGTCTCAAAGCACATCTCAGGTAATTCCTTGAAAATGTAGTGACTGTTCTAAAAGGCAAACAGCCAGCAAGCTGAAAATTACTGCCACGTTCTCTCTGAATTAGTTAGATTTTCCTCTCATCAACTCCCTCCCCCAACATGATATATATTTCCTGCCATTTAAAAATATTTGTTCAAACATTGAATCTTGGACAATAGCTTCTAAGGAGCCTATATAACCAGACACTGCAGCATTCTTAATTAATTCATCCTTGAATTTGATGTAATTGAAACATCTCAAAGTTTAATTGAGATGTCATTCAGACGTCTCAAAGCGCTTCACAGAGTATATTGTAAAATGGATTGACTGTGTATGTTGCGGCAAAATGCAGCAGCCAATTGTGCACATTAATGTCCCACAAACAGTCATGGATTGAGTGGTCAAGTTTTTTGGGGGGGATTATTACTCCCGGAAAGCAATCTTCCAATCGGCTAACAAACAGGTTCTTAATTACTACTAGGTAAACAGAAGCATGTAAGGTAAGTAAACTTGCCCAAGGCTTCGCCCTGTCTGGGAATCGAACCTGAATTCTCCTGCTTGTGAGGCAAACACGCTAGCCACTATTGGGGAAGACAATTGGACCCAACAGTCTCGTAGGATAGTGGCTGAAAGGTGGAAATGTGGGGCTGGATGAATTTTCTGAAGTTGTTGTTTGATGATCTTCAGAGTATCTACCTAAAACTTAGCTCTAATCGATTGAGGGAGTAATTGATAGGTTAGATTTTCTGTGCTCTATAATAATAATAATAATCCTTGCATTTGATATAGCGCTTTTCACGTCGGGAGGACGTCCCAAAGCGCTTCACAGAACACACTGTAAAGTGAATTGACTGTATATTTGTGGGCGAACGCGGCAGCCAATTGCGCACAGCAATGTCCCACAAATAGTCGTAGATTGAAAATGACCAATTTCTTATTGTTTTTGGTTTTTTTGGAGGGATTATTATTAGGCGTGTGGAGTAAGGAAACTTGCCCAAGGTTTCGCCCTGCCTGGAATTGAACTCAGGTCTCTCGCTTGCAAAGCGAGTGCTCTAACCACTGAGCTACAGGACTCCACAAAAAATGAAAGGTGTAGAGCTAGTTGCTCAATTAGCCAAATTACCTTTTACTCATACATAGCATATTGGTTAGAGCACACGCCTTGCAAGCGAGAGAACCAGCGGGGTGAAACCTAGAATCATGGAATCATACAGCACAGAAAGAGACCATTTGGCCCATCGTGTCTGCGTCAGCTCCAAAAAGAGGAATCCAACTCAATCCCACTCGCCCGCTTTCTCTCCATAGCCTTGCAATCTTGTCTTCCCCAAATACCCATCTACTTCTCATTTAAAAGTTGTTATTGAACCGGCTTCCACTACCCTTTCAGGTCATGCATTCCAGATCCAAACAAATCACTGGGTGAATTTTTTTTCCTAAACTCCCCTTTGTTTATTTTAACAACTAAAATAAATTGGTATCCTCGGGTTACTGACCCACATGCCAGTTTTTCATGTTTCAACCTATCAAATCCTCTCATGATCTTGAAAACCTCTGTTAAATCTTCTCTTAATCTTCTCTCCTCTTGGGAGAATAATCCTAGTTTCGCTAACCTCTCCTCATAACTAATGTCCTTCATTCTTGGTACTATCCTGGTAAACCTCCTTTGCACCCTCTCCAATGCCCTAACATCTTTCCTAAAGTGCAGTGCCCAGAACTGAACGCAGTACTCCAACTGAGGTCTATCCAGCATTTTATAAATATTCAACATAACCTCCTGACTTTTGAATTCTGTGCCCCTATTTATAAAATCTACTATCCTGTATGCTTTTTTATTAGCTTTATCTACCTGTCCTGCCACCTTCAGAGATTTGCTTATGTGGAGCCCAGGTCTCTCTGTTCATTTGACACCTTTAAGATTGTACCATCAGCTTATACTGCCCCTCCTCATTCTTTCTACCAAAATGCAACACTTTGCATTTCTCCACATTTAACCTTATCTGCCACTTTTCTGCCCGTTTTATCAATCTGTCTAAGTCCTCTTGGAGTCTGGTGCTATCCTCCTCACCATTAACTACTTTTCCTAGCATAGTATTGTCTGCAAATTTGGAAATTGTGCTCCCTATATCCAGGTCCAGAGCATTAATATAGATCAGAAAGAGCAGTGGTTCCAATACCGATCCACTACACACCTCCCTCCAGTCAGAAAAGCAACCATTCACCACTGCTCTCTGCTTTCTGTCTCCCAGTCAGTTTTGTATCCATGCTGCTACTGTCCCTTTAATACTGTGGGCTTCTATTTTGTTTATAAGTCTCTTGTGTGGCACTTTGTCAAATGCCTTTTGAAGATTTAGATAAATTACATCTACTGCACGACCTTCATTCACCCTCTCAGTCATTTCAAAAAATTCTATTAGGTTTTGTCAGACATGATCTGCCTTTAACAAATCCATGTTAACTGCCCTTTATTAAACCATATTTTTCTAAGTGAGAATTTATATTGTCTCAGATTATAGTCTCCAGAAGTTAGGCTGATTGGCCTGTAGTTCTCAGGTTTATCCTTCTGCCCCTTTTTGTACAGGGAAGTAATATTTGCAACCTTCCAGTCCTCTGGCACCACTCCAGTGTCCAAAGAGGATTGAAAGATTGTGGCCAGAGCCTCTGCTATTTCCACCCTTGGTAGGTAACCTAGGATGCATCTCATCCGGACCAGGTGAATTAATCTATAATGATCACCAACAGCCTCCTCAACCCAACCGAAAGTTCTGCACACATTTCAGGAATTCCTTCCCTTCCTTGCCCTTTACACTATGTGTTTCTCAGTCTATGTTAGGATAATTGAAGTCTCCCCTTATCACTACTCTATTGGTTTTGCACCTCTCCGAAATCTGCCCCCTGAACATCTATTACCTTTTGACTCTTCTCGCCAGAGGCCTCCTCACTGGTATCCAGTACCGAGAAGCGGTTTGTGAGTGCCACACTCTTAGGGGATTTCTGTACTGCCTGTTCTTTTTTTGCTCCACACCAGATGGTCACCCACTCACCCTTCTTCTGAACCCTCTGTGTGGCTGTGGAGTGAACACCTCCTGAACTCTCTGTGGCTGTGGGATGACCACCTCCTGAAAAGTTCAATCCATAAATTCTTCAGCCTCCCGTATCTTATGTAGTGACTGTAGCCTCTCCTCAAGCTCAGCAACCCTGAGCTCAAGCAGTCAGAGGCATTTCCTACATTTCCTACTGGAGTCCTGTAGCTCAGTGGTTAGAGCACTCGCTTTGCAAGTGAGAGACCTGAGTTCAATTCCAGGCAGGGCGAAACCTTGGGCAAGTTTCCTTACT